CTTCTTTTGGTCGCCCGCAGGAACAGGTGACGCTGGTAGGCAATGCTGAGGGTGTTGCTGGTGATGTTGGTGGTGCGTGGCTGTTTCGCGGTCTCTCAAACGGCACCTATCTTTAGGTGCCGTTTGGGAAGGCTTGTCAGAGGCTTGTCAAAGCAGGTGTTGCTGGCAATGCTGAGGGTGTTGCTGGTGATGCTGGTGGTGCGTGGCTGTTTCGCGGTCTCTCAAACGGCACCTATCTTTAGGTGCCGTTTGGGAAGGCTTGTCAGAGGCTTGTCAAAGCAGGTGTTGCTGGCAATGCTGAGGGTGTTGCTGGTGATGCTGGTGATGTTCTTTTACAGTCTTGCGCCCGAAGTAAAAGAACGGCATTACTACGCCTTCTTGTCGTCAGTTGTCTTGCGTTGCGCTGCTTCGTTCCCGCGTGTTAGGAAGGTAAGGGAGGGGGCTTGCAGTGCCACTTGTGTTTGATTGTGTCATGGGGAATAGTCGAAGATGTTGTGAGACGCTGCGAGACGCTGTCATGCCTTCGCGCCGCAGGACTTCCGCCCGCTCCATGTGCATGGGGCGCTGGAGGACCGTATCTCTTCAGAGGCTCGCGTGGCTTTGGACAGGGTGTTCATCTCGGAGCAGTACAACTACAACATGGCGCTGAGAGCCCCGGCTGCTGAGTCGATGAATTTGGTGTTTTGCACATTGGCAATTCCTTGCTTCATCAGTCTACCATGCGTTGCGCTTTGGCTTGAAAACGGGCAGTTTGGGAACGGGAAAGAGACACAAGCTCTAGTGCTGAGACCCGCAGGCGAAGGGGACGACAGCGTCATGCCTGAGCAGCTGAAAGCGCAGTGCGGCCGGAAGATTTTGAAGAGTTATATGGATGTGCTGTCCAAGCCCGGGGTCTTCAAAGCCCGCGCTGTGTGCCACAGCCCTGGGCATGAGGCCAGATTCGGATTGCCCACGTGTTATGGCTGTGACTTTGCACTCCATCCTGCGCCAAAAAATCATTCCCGTTTCACAAGTCACAGTTGATCGGATTGGTTTATGCCATCACGGTCACGCAGGAGTGCTTGACGCCGTACGGGGCGGCTTTGGAGCACTTTGAGGGCTTCCAGCAGGCATCTGCAAGTGGCAGGGGTGCAGAGTGTGGAGGCAGTGGCCACGGCAAAGGCCAACGGCGTGTCATTCGCATGGCGGCAGGAGGAAGCACGTGCACAGACGTCAGTGCCTTCGGGGCTTTGGCCGGGCTCACTGGCGAGTCCACCAGGGGGCTGTCCATCTGGATGTCCGAAAGACGCTTGTGCAAGGAACAGCTCATCGTGCACGAATGCACAAGCCGCTTCCCAAGCTGGGTGCTCAGCACCTTCATGCCGGAGTGGGAGTGGCACGCGCTGCTGCGGCCAGATGGGCCAGAAGAGGCGTGGAGCGGCGTCGCTGGCAGCGGCAGTGCCAACCCTAACGTGCCAAAGGCAGCGTCCACGTGCTGTGGGCGATATTCGCGGGAGACGGTCATCAGCCAGCGCAATTTTGGGTGGCCTGAGAGCCGGCCAAGGCTTTACCACGTGGGGGTGCTGAAGGCTGATGGCTTCTTGCGCGCCCCCGGCTTGCAGCTCCTCAACCAACTTCGGGAACGCGTGGAGCTGGATGTCACTTGTCTCTTCACTGCGCCGGAGGAACCAATGTGCCTTTTTCCTTGAGTTGGTTTGATATTGTTTTCTCGTGCCGTTTTCTTCCTTGGTGGTTGTTTTAAGCAAGTTCAACTATGATTGCCAGTCCAGGAGGATGTTGACGACGAGAGAAGATCGGAAGCCAAGCGGCTCAGCATGCCAAAGAACAGCAAGTTCATAGATCTCCTGCGAGGTGCGCGTTGTATGTTCGTTGTGTTCTACAATCCCACGATGTCCTGGTCTTGAGCACGAGTCGCTGGAACACTTCCCAAAAGTTTCATTGAGCGCATGTCAAGAATTTTCCGGTGTCAACAGTTTGTAGGCAGGTTGTGCAGTAAGCGTGCGTGCGGTCGCCCTTGCCAGGTGCCAAGCCAAAATGGCTGAGTGGATATCGCGCGCTTCCAAAAGTGCAGGAAGCTTTTGGGAAAGGACAGGGGCTGCTGGGTGTTCTCAGACCAGGCAACCAATTGATAGACAATCGCTGACTGACAAGTGGTTGGCTTGGCCCCTGCCAGGAGCTGTTGCGGTTTGTTGCAACTTGCAACAAAATCCTCTTCGAATGCCCGTGGTCGGCAAGTTGCTACCGACCCTGATGAGGTCTGGCTGCATGTGGATCATGGGCAAGCAAGAACCATCAGGTTCTGAGGACTCGGAGAGCGTTTTTGAGGAAAGGTACCTCCTTCCAAAAGCTTCTCAGCTGGTTCGGCAGATTGTTGTCACCGCCACCGTCAAAGAGTTTTGTCGGCCCGACTTGCAAATGTACCGTTAGTTGAGTGTGAGTTGTTGCTGTTGTCGTTGGACGTCGTTGTTGTTCTTGCTGTTGTGCGTCTTTCAATGATAGTAGCGCTGGAGCCTGCCTGCCTGCCCAGGAACACCTCGCAGCCATGGGCTTCTGGACATGGCCTCATTTGTCTCCACAGGAGCCATTTCCATTGTGGGGAGGCCATGTCCCTAAAACTGCAATGAAATCCATAGCTGGAAACGCGCCTTGGCGCAAAGTTCACACTTTCTGTTTTGTCTTAATGACGATCTTGCCCAAACCGTGTTGACTCAACATTTGCTTCTTGGCTCTGGTCATGTTCCGGCTGACGCGCGAGGCTATGCATTGCAGTGTGATTGGCGCTGTGTGGGCCGCAAGTCTGGCAACATATGAGTCATGTGCAATGCATCGTGCCTGAAAGTGACACCGGAGCCGACGTCCATAACGCCTTGAGATGGAGCTGAAAACGCGCTGTGTGTTTGGTTGCCTGAGCTTGATGCTTGCGTCGGTGAACCCAATCCGATGCCATTGAACATTAGCTTGTCAGACAATGCGGACGCAGCGTGTGTCGTGTTTGACTTGACCTAACGTCCTCGACTAGCGCCTGCCATTGATCGTTGGTCCTGGGCTCGCAGCACCCAGCGCCCGACAAGCGTTTTTTTTCTATTTAAATGAACGTTATGGCCGTGCACGGGTCTCAACCTCAACAAAATTGGGCATGTTGCAGACAAGTTCAGACAAGTTTGTGAAATTCGGGCTTGCGCTCATGCTGGCAGCGTCGGGCAAAAGCTTGGCCGGCTTGAGCCAAGGGCCATGCGCAGTGTGCGGCACGGCAGCGTCAAGGAATGCAAGGTCTCGGGTTACCTTGCTCTGCGGAAGTTGCCTTCCCAACAGGGAGGCAATGTATCTGCAGGCCGCCAAGACATCCAAGACAGGTGAGCTGAGAGAACGCTTGCAACACATGGAAGCATCTCAAGACCCAGAACAGCACGCCGAGTTCATCCGCCTCCTCAAACAGTTCAATGAAAAGCAGCTTGACTTGTCAGACTGTCAAACTTGTTCATGTTTCGTGCTTGTCACCAGGAACTAGCCCTTCGCAGCTGAGGAGCCCAGCCCCTGGCCGGGGAAAGCAGAGGAAGCCATTTGACTTCAGCCAGGTGAACATCAGCAGCAAGTCCGGGCATCGCCAGGACAAAATGTGCAAGACGCAGCCCCTGACCCGTGAACAGTACTTGAAGTGGTACACCGAGAGTTGCCCTGAACACAAGAGTGCCTCAGGTTGCAGTCAGTGGAAAACATTGTCAAAACAGAATCTGCGTTTTAGGGATTGGGGTGAGGGACCTAGGCCCCCCCGTCCAAAGGGCGTCTCATGTTTTGGGTGACAAGCGTTTTGATACTTTTTAGGGTTGGTTTTGTAACCGGGCGTTTTTGTGGACAGGGAGGCTTGTCAGCGCTGCCACGAACAGCAAGTTAGTGGCTGCGAAACCTGAGGATTGAGCTTGCCAGCAGCGAAGAAGAAGTGGGATCGAGATCTCAAAGATGAGAAGGGTGTGCTCCTGACACGGTTGCTGCCAGACCTTCTTTTTCGTTCCTTGTTGTCATGATGTCATGCGACACGCTTCGGTCAAGATCAAGACTCAAGACAGAGACATGTCGGGTGCAGTTTCAGTTTCAGACACACAGCCAGACAAACGTGCTTGCCAGGTGTTCCGTGACCAAGTCGACGCTAATGATTTGGAAGGCAACCCCGCCGGGAAGGCGGCTCATTGCATGTGCTTTTGTGTGTGCGCGGATTTGTTTGTGTGTGCGTTTTGTGGTGCGTGCCAGGTGTGGCGCTTGTGGATCCCGGTGGAAGACTATGCCGTCAAGGGGACATTTCAGGCGACGGCAACAAAACAGACAAAACTCTTTTTCTGAGTCCTGCAAACTCCGGCCTTCACCTGTGCGGCAGGAGAACTCGACAGAGAAGGTGTCTGGCTTTGATGTTCGCAACCCGGGCGAGAAGCAGGAAACGGAACTCTCCCAACTCCGAGAAGCGTTGAAAGAAGATGTGGAGGAGGAGGCAGGGGTTGAGCGCCTTAAACGCACTGGCAGATTTGAGACAACAAACTGAGTGTGACTGGGATTTACTGGACAGGTGAGTTTGGCCGACTGCAAGTTCAGGGCCTCCAGCAGCGTTGGCCCCGACGCTAGTGGTCTTCGGGCTGCGCCAAAGGTGGGCAACAAGAAGGGCAAGGGTGCCACAGGCGCTGGCGCGGACGGCGGCGCCAACCTGACTGGGGAGTTTGCTTCTTGGGCGCGGCTCTCTGGCGCAGCTTGTGCGTCAAAGGCTCGAGCGCGCACCATGAGGGAGTACAACGAAGCGCAGAGCGCCCTCGCGTCGGCCTGGAAAACCCTTCAGGAGGTTGGGAACGCAGCAGCTGCTCCTGAGGTCATCGCAGCAGACAGCCTTCTTTGTAGGATCAAGACAAGGACAAGGGTTAACGCATAAAAAGGCATTCATCAGCCGTTTCGTGGTTTACAGCTAGGCCAAATGGTTTATCAAAAAAAGGATCCCATGCAAGCCTTCATTTTTTTGGCAGGGCCGAAGCGCTTCTGGAGATCAGCGGGCGTGACTATATGTCGTCTGTGCCTGGGCTGGACACTGTCATTGGGCAGCACTTGCACAGCTACAAGGCCAAGGAGAGCAAGGAGTGCAAGGAGACCAAAGAGGACGAGGGCATTCAAGCAGCCTTGCTTGCAGATGAATATTTTGCCGAAGTTTTGGGCTCCGAGCAGGGGATCTTGAGTATGAGCCGGATCTCCAACGTCAGGGCAGTTGAGATGAGCCTTTTGTCCGACGCAGGAAAGGTCATCAGCTTGATGGGTCGTCAGCAGGCCTCGCTCTTCATCATCAAGGCAGTGGCCAAGGCAGTTGCGCAAGACTCTGGGCAGTGGAAAGCGAATTTGGAGGCAGAGACGAAGGCCTGGTTCAAGCTCATCATTTGTACTGTGAGTCTTCCCGTTTCTAACGGCTCACCCTTCAACTTCTAGATCGTTTTTAGTCTTGGGGGTCTTTAGGGTTTGGGGTGGCCGGAAGTTGGAAGATCGGAGTGGTTGGGCGGTTGCTCAGCGACCAGCGCCAGGCCCGCGTGGAGGAGGAGAAAATTGCCAAGCGCGAGCAGGAGAGAATCGCAAAGGCCGAGGCGCTCAAGCTCAAGAGGGAGCAGACCAAGAGGGACAAAGAGCTTGCCAGCCAGGCAAGGGCGCAAGCCAAGGTGGCCGCCGCCAAAGCAAAAGCCGCCGACGATGCTCAGGTGGAAGATGGCGACAGGAGAAAGAGAAGACGGAAGGGAGGCGAAGCCGATGATGTGGAAGGACGGCGGCGACGCGTGCCAGGTCTTCAGCAGCTGACAGAGAGCGATCCGGCAGTGCTACGCAACTTGGCAAAGTTGCCTGCTGTGCACGCAGCGCCTGTCCAGACAAGCGTGGACGCTTTTGCCTTGTCCGCATTGTGTGGCCGCCCGGTCATAGCGCGCCTGAAGAAGGGTGCGGTGAAGAAGTTGATGAGCGCGTGCCCCAATCGGCTCACCAAGGAGGCGGTGAATGAAGCCTGTCGCTTCCTGAACAAGGCTGGTGGCTTGGAACTGGAGTTTGTGGACTTGCTTGGAGTTGGCTGCTCCTTCAATCAACTTAACTTGGCTTGATCAGCAGGTGATGTTGTTTGATGATTTGCCTTCCAGAACAACTCTGGCTTCCCTGAGGCGATGTCTGACTTCAAGCAGGACGTTCAGGAGAAGCAACGCAGCGCGGGAAAAACCCGTGCTTTGCGGATGGACGTCCCCGCAGATGTGCTGGGCATGGACTTTCACTTCTTGGACGCACTTTGCGCTGCTCAAGAAGATGACGGCTTCAAGAGCAGCATGACTGAGCACCACCGCAAGATTGTCGACGGCTCTTGGGTGTTCAACAGGGAGCGCTAAGGCAAAGAGCAGCTCCGCTTGCAAACTTGCAAGACTTGTGTTTGCGTGTGACTGTTACAGTGTCCTTGTTGCCCATGTACTAGCGCATACTTCTGGTGTCGCGCAGTGGCAAGAACAGGTGCCTGGACATCCTGTTGTCCGAGTACAAGGCCATGAACCCGACTGCAGAGGCTCCAGATTCGGCAGAAGAAGTTAGTGACGACAAGCCGGTCCCTGCCGACGTGCGCGCGAACTTGTTGAAGGTGGTGGGGGTTGCTTTGGCTTCGTTTTTGGACGGCGCAGTGTACGCAGGTCACATGCCAGGCACGGGTGCGGTTTGGCAGGAATGTTGATGCGTGTCAATGCGTGTTTTGCAACTTGAATTCGGCCACGGCTCTCGCAATCGCCCAGCTTGGCCACGCGTTTCCAACCCCAGGCTTTTTGCCGACCATTTGCTACCAGATGGATGGCTCTAGGATCTTTGCAAGTATGGACTTGAAGGAGGCCTTGGCGGGCGCGGAGCGCAAGTTGCAGGCGGAAGCAGCCAAAGCAGAAGGTGCTCCAGCCGCTGAACCCCCATCTCTGGCAGACGCAGTGCAGTTCTTGATGGAGTGCCCTCAGGGCTTGGACCTCGAGAACTCAACCCTGATGACTGGTTGTTTGTACCCCGGAGACATTGCAATCCTTCCTGCAGGGGTGTTGCTCGTCGAGCGTGCTCTGGGCGACTGCTGCGCCATCCGCGTCACCAGCGGGCTTTCTTCTGGACACGCGCTGGAGGCCTTGGAGCTGGCGTCCAATTACAGCTCGCCGCTTGGCTTGATGGTTGGTTGTCTTGTCCACCTGCGAGCACCTTGAGGCAATCCGTAGAGGTGTTTCTTTCCCGCCGACAAACAGCAAAAGCGCTTGGTTTTTGTCACTACCTTACTTGTGGTTTCCACGCCACGACAAATTAGTGCAGTGACCTTCAGTTACACTTCAGGTACTTCGTTTTCATTGTTTTGCAAGGAAACACAATCAACTCACAGATGTTCATGCGCTGCGCAAGGACAGCCCTCAGTGATGCAATGATCACATGCGGAGCGAATGCTCAACACAACCAAGCAAGCCATTGCAGACTGAGTGCTGCCACCTTGGTCGCGAACTTGGCTGATGGTGAGAACAGCGGGGCGGAAGATGGTTCTGACACAGACGTGAGTGACGCTGACGAAGCTTCTGGTGATGGTGTTGGCCAGGCCGGGTCGTGGCCAGGTCATGTACACGTTTGCTCTTGTTAGATGATGGTCAGTGTTGCTCAGTGTTCAGATGTTTGACCAGTCAGTCAGTCATCCTTGTTGATTTGGAGCAATTTGGACGCCCGCTGTATGTCGCGTGTCAGGCAGACTGCAAGAAGCAGAAGCATGCACAAAGACGGGGGCAGAAGCGAGCTGGTCCAAACCTTGAGACGACCCCTGCCTGCAAGAAGATTTGTGCTGCAGAGCAGGCAGCGGCTGCGGAGCCTGATGCTGAGAGCGCCAAGGAGGAGAGGGAGAAGGCTGCGCTGGCTGAGGCTGGGCAGCAGGCAGCTGGTGATGCTATCAAGCCCGCCGCTGTAGGTGAGGAGGAGAAGGCAGAAGAGGAAGCAGCCCCGGCCACACCTGAAACAAAAGCGGGCTTGGCTGTGGAGAAGGCTGTTTTTCAGAAGAAGGAGAAGGCCTTGGCCGCAGCCAAGGGTGCTGATGCTGACTTTGAAGAAAAGGCTGCGGCTGCGGTTGAGAACAAGGTTGACTTGGTTCCGGGTGCTGACATGCAGAGTGCTGCAAACGTGGATGCTTCGCCGGCCACAACCAAGGGTGCTGATGCTGCCTGCGCGCAGAAGGCTGCGGCTGAGGTCGAGCTGGCGGCTGCTGATGCGGAGGAGGCTGCAAGGGTGGCGCCGGCCACAATCAAGAGTGCCGATGCTGTGGCTGCTGATGTGGAGAAGGTTGCAAGGGCGGCGCCGGCGCCGGCTACAATCAAGCGTTTTGCAGAGAAGGCTGCGGCTGTGGAGGTTGAGTCAACGGTTGAGCCGGGTGAGCTGGTGGCTGCTGATGCGGAGAAGGCTGACGCTGCTTTTGCGCAGAAGGCTGCGGCTGCGGAGCAACTGGCGGCTGATGCGGAGAAGGCTGCAGTGACGCCGGCGTCTGATGCTGCTTTTGCTGAGAAGGCTGCGGCTGCGGAGGAGCTGGCGGCTGCTGATGCGGAGAAGGCTGATGCTGCTCTTGCAGAAAAGGCTGCAGCTGCGGAGGTGACGCCGGCGCCTGATGCTGCTTTTGCAGAGAATCAGGCTGCGGAGGAGTTGGCGGCTGCTGATGCGGAGAAGGCGGTGATGCCGGCGCCTGATGCTTCTTTTGCAGAGAAGGCTGTGGCTGCGGAGGAGTTGGCGGCTGCTGATGCGGAGAAGGCGATGCCGGCGCGTGATGCTGCTTTTGCAGAGAAGGCTGTGGCTGCGGAGGAGCTGGCGGCTGCTGATGTGGAGAAGGCGGCGCCTGATGCTGCTTTTGCAGAGAAGGCTGTGGCTGAGGAGCTGGCGGCTGCCGCGGAGGAGCTGGCGGCTGCTGATGCGGAGAAGGCTGCAAAGGTGACGCCGGCGCCTGATGCTTTTGCAGAGAAGGCTGCGGCTGTGGAGGAGCTGGCGGCTGCTGATGCGGAGAAGGCTGCAAAGGTGGCGCCGGCGCCTGCGGCGGCTGCGGTTGCCGATGCTGAGGTTGACTCTGCGCAGTCAGAGCTGCTTCAGCTCACTGAGACCGAGACTGGGAGGGACAACCTCGAGACGCTTCTGGAGGAGGCTATGGATGCAGAGGTAGACGCAGCGGCAGAGGCAGAGGCCGCGCAGCGTGGCAGGGGCGGCAAGGGCAAAGGCAAGGACAAGGGGGCAAGGAAAGGTAAGGGCCGAGGCCGAGGCCAAGGACGAAGTGCTCGTGGCCAGCCGCTTGTGCAGGTGGAGCGTTGGGCAAAGCCGAAGCCACAGCCAAAACGCAATCAGTCGCGGCTGAGGTTTGGCTAGTTTTTTTCAGAGCCGCAGGCTTGAGCTTGATTTTTTGCTTGATTTTTTGGACTTGGGCGGAGCCCGGAGATGAGACGTGTGGAAAAGAGCGCCTATGATTGAATCATTACACATTCTATAAAAACTTATTTAAACAAATATAAATATATTTTTTTATATATTACATCAGATAAAGAAATATGTGTGTGTAGAATGTGTTTTTTTAGAAGGTTGCTTGAAGAAGTGGGACGCCTTAAGAACTCGGGCTGCGCTCAGCAAACCAGCGTTTGATTGCAGTAAGCGCAAAACAAGACGGAAGTAGGAAGAGGCCATCGTGGCCTGAGAAGCGCTTGGCGTCCATTCTCTGGCTGCAAATCCTGTTTATTTCCTCCAGTCCTACATCGTGTTGCAATCCTGAAATCCTGATAGGGTTGGTGGTGACGGGCCTGGAGCTGGTTAAAGTTGCCAGCGCGGCGCCAGGTGTATTTTTCCAAACATGCCCATAGCGCCAGACGCAGTTTGGAACTCAGCGTTCCTGGCACCTGGAAACGTATAATCCTTAAATGAATTGGGGAACATTTATAAACCCCTATTTAAAAAATTTAGCACTCTAGTGTGAATTCTGAACGCTTTTGTCTAACTCCCTCGCCGCCGGATCTCTAGATCTCTGACGTGATTTCTGAACGGTTTTGTCTAACTCATTTGCCGTTGGATCTCTATAGCTCTAGTGTGAATTCTGAACGCTTTTGTCTAACTCCCTCGCCGCCGGATCTCTAGATCTCTGATGTGATTTCTGAACGGTTTTGTCTAACTCATTTGCCGTTGGATCTCTATAGCTCTAGTGTGAATTCTGAACGCTTTTGTCTAACTCCCTCGCCGCCGGATCTCTAGATCTCTGATGTGATTTCTGAACGGTTTTGTCTAACTCATTTGCCGTTGGATCTCTATAGCTCTAGTGTGAATTCTGAACGCTTTTGTCTAACTCCCTCGCCGCCGGATCTCTAGATCTCTGATGTGATTTCTGAACGGTTTTGTCTAACTCATTTGCCGTTGGATCTCTATAGCTCTAGTGTGAATTCTGAACGCTTTTGTCTAACTCCCTCGCCGCCGGATCTCTAGATCTCTGACGTGATTTCTGAACGGTTTTGTCTAACTCATTTGCCGTTGGATCTCTATAGCTCTAGTGTGAATTCTGAACGCTTTTGTCTAACTCCTCGCCGCCGGATCTCTAGATCTCTGACGTGATTTCTGAACGGTTTTGTCTAACTCATTTGCCGTTGGATCTCTATAGCTCTAGTGTGAATTCTGAACGCTTTTGTCTAACTCCCTCGCCGCCGGATCTCTAGATCTCTGATGTGATTTCTGAACGGTTTTGTCTAACTCATTTGCCGTTGGATCTCTATAGCTCTAGTGTGAATTCTGAACGCTTTTGTCTAACTCCCTCGCCGCCGGATCTCTAGATCTCTGACGTGATTTCTGAACGGTTTTGTCTAACTCATTTGCCGTTGGATCTCTATAGCTCTAGTGTGAATTCTGAACGCTTTTGTCTAACTCCCTCGCCGCCGGATCTCTAGATCTCTGATGTGATTTCTGAACGGTTTTGTCTAACTCATTTGCCGTTGGATCTCTATAGCTCTAGTGTGAATTCTGAACGCTTTTGTCTAACTCCCTCGCCGCCGGATCTCTAGATCTCTGATGTGATTTCTGAACGGTTTTGTCTAACTCATTTGCCGTTGGATCTCTATAGCTCTAGTGTGAATTCTGAACGCTTTTGTCTAACTCCCTCGCCGCCGGATCTCTAGATCTCTGACGTGATTTCTGAACGGTTTTGTCTAACTCATTTGCCGTTGGATCTCTATAGCTCTAGTGTGAATTCTGAACGCTTTTGTCTAACTCCCTCGCCGCCGGATCTCTAGATCTCTGATGTGATTTCTGAACGGTTTTGTCTAACTCATTTGCCGTTGGATCTCTATAGCTCTAGTGTGAATTCTGAACGCTTTTGTCTAACTCCCTCGCCGCCGGATCTCTAGATCTCTGATGTGATTTCTGAACGGTTTTGTCTAACTCATTTGCCGTTGGATCTCTATAGCTCTAGTGTGAATTCTGAACGCTTTTGTCTAACTCCCTCGCCGCCGGATCTCTAGATCTCTGACGTGATTTCTGAACGGTTTGTCTAACTCATTTGCCGTTGGATCTCTATAGCTCTAGTGTGAATTCTGAACGCTTTTGTCTAACTCCCTCGCCGCCGGATCTCTAGATCTCTGATGTGATTTCTGAACGGTTTTGTCTAACTCATTTGCCGTTGGATCTCTATAGCTCTAGTGTGAATTCTGAACGCTTTTGTCTAACTCCCTCGCCGCCGGATCTCTAGATCTCTGATGTGATTTCTGAACGGCTTTGTCTAATCTCTTTTGCCGTTGGATCTCTATAGCTCTAGTGTGAATTCTGAACGCTTTTGTCTAACTCCCTCGCCGCCGGATCTCTAGATCTCTGATGTGATTTCTGAACGGTTTTGTCTAACTCATTTGCCGTTGGATCTCTATAGCTCTAGTGTGAATTCTGAACGCTTTTGTCTAACTCCCTCGCCGCCGGATCTCTAGATCTCTGATGTGATTTCTGAACGGCTTTGTCTAACTCATTTGCCGTTGGATCTCTATAGCTCTAGTGTGAATTCTGAACGCTTTTGTCTAACTCCCTCGCCGCCGGATCTCTAGATCTCTGATGTGATTTCTGAACGGTTTTGTCTAACTCATTTGCCGTTGGATCTCTATAGCTCTAGTGTGAATTCTGAACGCTTTTGTCTAACTCCCTCGCCGCCGGATCTCTAGATCTCTGATGTGATTTCTGAACGGTTTTGTCTAACTCATTTGCCGTTGGATCTCTATAGCTCTAGTGTGAATTCTGAACGCTTTTGTCTAACTCCCTCGCCGCCGGATCTCTAGATCTCTGACGTGATTTCTGAACGGTTTTGTCTAACTCATTTGCCGTTGGATCTCTATAGCTCTAGTGTGAATTCTGAACGCTTTTGTCTAACTCCCTCGCCGCCGGATCTCTAGATCTCTGATGTGATTTCTGAACGGTTTTGTCTAACTCATTTGCCGTTGGATCTCTATAGCTCTAGTGTGAATTCTGAACGCTTTTGTCTAACTCCCTCGCCGCCGGATCTCTAGATCTCTGATGTGATTTCTGAACGGTTTTGTCTAACTCATTTGCCGTTGGATCTCTATAGCTCTAGTGTGAATTCTGAACGCTTTTGTCTAACTCCCTCGCCGCCGGATCTCTAGATCTCTGACGTGATTTCTGAACGGTTTTGTCTAACTCATTTGCCGTTGGATCTCTATAGCTCTTGTGTGAATTCTGAACGCTTTTGTCTAACTCCCTCGCCGCCGGATCTCTAGATCTCTGACGTGATTTCTGAACGGTTTTGTCTAACTCATTTGCCGTTGGATCTCTATAGCTCTAGTGTGAATTCTGAACGCTTTTGTCTAACTCCCTCGCCGCCGGATCTCTAGATCTCTGATGTGATTTCTGAACGGTTTTGTCTAACTCATTTGCCGTTGGATCTCTATAGCTCTAGTGTGAATTCTGAACGCTTTTGTCTAACTCCCTCGCCGCCGGATCTCTAGATCTCTGACGTGATTTCTGAACGGTTTTGTCTAACTCATTTGCCGTTGGATCTCTATAGCTCTAGTGTGAATTCTGAACGCTTTTGTCTAACTCCCTCGCCGCCGGATCTCTAGATCTCTGACGTGATTTCTGAACGGTTTTGTCTAACTCATTTGCCGTTGGATCTCTATAGCTCTAGTGTGAATTCTGAACGCTTTTGTCTAACTCCCTCGCCGCCGGATCTCTAGATCTCTGATGTGATTTCTGAACGGTTTTGTCTAACTCATTTGCCGTTGGATCTCTATAGCTCTAGTGTAAATTCTGAACGCTTTTGTCTAACTCCCTCGCCGCCGGATCTCTAGATCTCTGATGTGATTTCTGAACGGTTTTGTCTAACTCATTTGCCGTTGGATCTCTATAGCTCTAGTGTGAATTCTGAACGCTTTTGTCTAACTCCCTCGCCGCCGGATATATAGATCTCTGATGTGATTTCTGAACGGTTTTGTCTAACTCATTTGCCGTTGGATCTCTATAGCTCTAGTGTGAATTCTGAACGCTTTTGTCTAACTCCCTCGCCGCCGGATCTCAAGATCTCTGATGTGATTTCTGAACGGTTTTGTCTAACTCATTTGCCGTTGGATCTCTATAGCTCTAGTGTGAATTCTGAACGCTTTTGTCTAACTCCCTCGCCGCCGGATCTCTAGATCTCTGATGTGATTCCTGAACGGTTTTGTCTAACTCATTTGCCGTTGGATCTCTATAGCTCTAGTGTGAATTCTGAACGATTTGGTCTAACTCCCTCGCCGCCGGATCTCTAGATCTCTGACGTGATTTCTGAACGGTTTTGTCTAACTCATTTGCCGTTGGATCTCTATAGCTCTAGTGTGAATTCTGAACGCTTTTGTCTAACTCCCTCGCCGCCGGATCTCTAGGTTTGTGATGTGATTTCTGAACGGTTTTGTCTAACTCATTTGCCGTTGGATCTCTATAGCTCTAGTGTGAATTCTGAACGCTTTTGTCTAACCCCTCGCCGCCGGATCTCTAGATCTCTGACGTGAGTTCTGAACGGTTTTGTCTAACTCATTTGCCGTTGGATCTCTATAGCTCTAGTGTGAATTCTGAACGCTTTTGTCTAACTCCCCCGCCGCCGGATCTCTAGATCTCCGATGTGGTTTCTGAACGGTTTTGTCTAACTCATTTGCCGTTG